AGTATTCAGATCAGCACAAAATTACTTACTCAGGTGGGAACGAATATAGTAAGGGAGTTGGTATTATTTTTGAAGAACTCAAAAACTGTGAAAGGATTTTGGACAATATCAGATAGAGTACTATTAGTAAAATTTCACGGCAGACCGTTTGACATCAACTTAGTACATATTTATGCTTCGACAGCAGATAGTTCAGAAGAAATAAGTGAAAAAGTGTACGGAATAACGGGTGGCTATGGCCTGGGAGAAAATAATGTGAGAGGTGACAGATTAATAGCATGGGCTGCGTCGCACAGCATGATAATTTAGTTTAAACACCATTTAGTTTAATTTAGTTTAAACACCATCCTCGAAGATTGTGGACTTGAAAAGTCCTGGCGCTAATGTCAGATTGGTTATATTTTGATTTCAGGAAGATTCCGGAGCAGCTTAGTTGGAGCAAAAACTAGACCAGCAGCAGACTGCTTTAGTGACCATGTTCCAATTGTAGGAAAGATTAAAATAAAACTAAAGAATATTAAGAAATCACCACAGAACATCAAGTTAAATTTAGTAATACTTAGAACGGATAAAGAAATTAAGGAACAGTACAATGTCACTGTTCAAAGCCGGTATATTGCAATGGAAATTATACAGGCTATTGATCAACAGTGGGATGTGTTGCGTAAGTCAATCAGCAGACATCAAAAGAGACAATCCCACCAACCCATAGAGTCGCAAAAAAGGATTGGATGTCGACCGAAATTCTGCAGTTGATGGATGAAAGAATGAAGAAAAAGAATGATAAAGAAGAGTAATCAAGAATACAAAAAGAAATAGTGAACAAATGAAAAGTAGCTAAAGTACAGAGGTTGTGGAAAATCACAGGAAAGACTCACATTCCATGTACCAACAGATAAATACGTTAACAGGAAAGATGACACGTAACAGCACTGGATGTTTGAAATCGAAAGATGGCGACTTATTAATGGGACATAGTAATTTAATTAACAGATGGACAGAGTATATAGGGGAATTGTATGATGATAATAGACCAGATGTAGAACTGCAGACCAACAATGATGGTCCACCAATAATGACTGCAGAAGTTGAGGATGCAATACATCATTGGAAGAAAGGAAAAGCCGAGAAGTAATGGTGGTATAAAAAAAAAAAAATATTCCTAAATGTGTGATAAAAGTCAATGGTGTTATTTTGAGAAAGTACAGAAATTTAAGTATCTGAACACATGGATAACATTACTGAGATAAGAAACAGAATAGGGCAGTGTCGCGTGCGGATGTGCACCAGAACGCACCAGTACTGAGTGAGCAAATAAGACGTCAAAACAATACGTCAGGTAGTGAAGAAATTGTATTCTAGGAGATGTAAGTCGAAGTTTGACCAAGGCGGACGGTGGTCCGGCCCTGGTGTGGATCCTTGAGGATGCTTTACCCCGGGATGCCACGGTGGATCCTTGAGGACGTTTTACCCCGGGATGCCACAGTTCGGCAGTAAGCCGGTATACTTTGCAGTCGATGTTTACAGTCCGAAGGAGACGGACGTGTGGATCCTTGAGGACGCTTTACCCCGGGATCCCACGGAAGCAAACGTTATATAAAGTTGGATCCTTGAGGACGTTTTACCCCGGGACTCCAAGATAGACCTCAGCAGGAAGCTGGTGAATGTTACATTTCGGCAGTAAGCCGGTATACCTTCATTATTTAATTCAAGCGGCTGAACTGAATACAAAGATGATTGTCTGGATCTCAAGGTCGGACTGCGACCTATCGTGAGGACATTTCAGTCCATGGATGTACGAGCGAGCTTTGGTTAATGTGCTTGATTATTAATTGCATATGTATCCTTTGTGTTGATCATTGCTGATTGTATATATCAATACAACCGTTGGAACTTAACGCATAGCGTTCGAGCTCTACCTTTTGAAAGCATTGAAGTAACTACTGTTTTACCCCTACTTGGCCTATTTCATCTTGGTACGACGTACATCACCACGCAGCCTTAACAGCACGTCACACTGTAGCTCAAGCGTACGCATGCCACAGGCAGGCAAAAACTGCATTTTATAAAATGAAGAAAATCTTATGCAATATATTTTTGTCAATGAGGGTTTAAAAATTTTATTATTATTGCTTGCCACATACATTCAGTTTTAACATATGGCTGTGTCCTGGACAATCAGTAGGCAGGCCAAACAATTTTTTGAGGTCTCAGAGATATGGTTTTACAGAAGAATGCTTAAAATACCTTGGACAGCCAGAAAGAGCTACCAAGAGGTTTTGAAAGAGGCGGGAGCCCGAAGACAACTTATCACAGACATCAGAAAAAAACAGTCATCATTTTCGGCCATGTTATAAGAACAAGGAGAATGCAACATTTTGTGGCCACTGGAAAGGTCTGTGGAAGGACGGATAGAGGAAGGCAAAGAGAGAAGATTCTTGACAGTCTTGTTGCATGGCATGGAGGTGTGTCAGCACACGAACTAAAACCTGACGCAGGATATCACTGATTGAGGAGAGGCCTGATCGCCCACACCTGTCGGCAAGTCACCTAATGGGGATGATATTTATCAAAACAGCAATTAAACAACATTAGAATTATAGGACCATTAAGTCTCACCAGTCACCGTAGTATACCGTCATGCTCTAGGGCTATTCAACTGACGGCCCCTGGACCAAATCTGGTCCATAGAGGTCTAGCAAGAATGGCCTCCAGATTGTATTGTGTTATTGATCTTAATGATTTATTGGTGAAAATTATTTGGAAGCTGCGGAGATGTGGTTTTATTTACGAATGATGAGAATACACTGGGCAGATAAAAAACAAAAGATTAATGAGGATGTCTTGGGGAAAAAAAAACTGACTCACGAAAAGAACTAACTGATTGCCCGTATCAGAAATATACAAATACATGCTGGGCTTCAATGCTCACGACAATTAGATAAATTAGCTATGCTCAAGAATGTCTGGTAAAGAAACAAAACAAAAAAACCAAAAAAAAAAGAATTCTCTTTCTGGACCCATTTGACAAAGAAAGACTGCATAAAATATTTTGTGAAATGATGCCTTTTCCTGAGCTATTCTACATTTAAATTCTTTAATACATCTTATATCTGTTGTTATCATAATACCTAAGTTTAAACATATTAACTTGCTTGAGGTTTGCCCCATTTACTTTGTTATTGTATTTTGGAGGGTCAGTTTTATTTGTAATTACTATTACTTCTGTTTTTCTGCTGTTCAAGTTAAGACCCTTGTTTCCACTTTTCGTTACAACTATATGTACCATGCCTTGTAGTTGTAATTCATTTTCAGCGATCAAAACTGTATCGTTAGCATATAGGAGGTTCTTAACAATACACCCACCAACTGATATTCCTGGCATACCATGGATGGATCTTATTATTATTTCCCTATACAAATTGAATAAATCGCGTGATGGTACACATCCCTGCCTAACGCATTGTTTAATGTTTTGAAAAGTTCCAACTTGGTTGTAAATCCTTATGGTTGCTTTTTGTTGCAAGTTTATGTTCTTTAATATTCTCAGTTCTTTATTGTCAATATTTAGGGTTTCCAAAATTCCAATAATGTGACATAAGACATCAGATCCATTAGGCCTAAGGCGACCGCCATGGAAATTAATTCTAATAAGGGCTTCGCAAGTCCAAAAGAACTGGAAATGCTTTTGGAAACATTTCAACAAAAAGCATACCCAGCTAGTTTTCTTTCAACAGCATTTTTAAAACTTTAGCTACTTTTCCTTTACAGACGTTGCAAAACCAACTCCAATGTTTTGTGTTTGTGTGTGTGGCTGTTGTGGTTTCTAAAGGCAAGTTTGGGTTGAGAAGTTTTCTATTACTCACAACAGGCTGCTATAAGGGTTGCCGAAGTAACGAACGAACAAACAAACAAAAACATTAAAAACACAAAGAAATTGGAAGAAGATTTAGAAACCAGTCATTTATTTTGATTTAAGCTCAGTTGAGATGGTTCGGCCATCTGACAAGAATGTTCTTGTACCAACTGCCACAGAGAGCCAGGTGGAGGACATGGTTCCTGGAAGAATGTGAAAGCGCTGACAAGCACGATGCTTAACACATCATATCAAGAACGTCATGGGCAGTTAACAAAAGGCGGGAAATTTGCAAGTGATCATGGCTTTTGGCATGATAAGAGCAACGTTCTGCAAAAAAAAAAAAAAAAAAAAATGGTTATATGATGACGATGATGTCAATGACTGACTGACTTTCTACCCCACTAGGACATCACACAAGCGATAAACACCCGATGACACTAAGTGCCACCATGTGGATGAGGATCGCCGTGGAGAGGTCCCAGAAACCGCGTTCAGACAATTGGCCATTTTATGGCCTGCCTATTTTGCGGCCCCTAGAAAAAGCCAGGGTGGGGCTTCATTCATTCATTCAGTAGCATGTCCCTCGCGGAACCTCGCTGCCGTAACAACCCTCTGGAAAACCTTCCTATCCTGAGCAAGATGTCCTGCGTCTGATACACCCATCTGGAGATCATCTGCCACATCCTGCACCCATCTTCTCCTTGGCCTTCCTCTTCCTCTCTTCCCAGGCATATACCCCTCCATTATTGTTCTCTCTAGACTTCCATGACGTTTCAAGTGACCAAAATATTTCAATTTTCTTTGTTTTATTGTCTTTACTAGCCAACCCTCTTCAATATTCAGCTCTTGAAGATGGGGCTTCAAATGATAAAAAATTTCATCCTAAAAAGGACAAAACTATTATAATGCTAATGATAAGACTGGACTAATATGTTTACATGCGCTGTTAATAGAGCTGTTTTAACCCCTCATCCGGTGAACTCTTTAGACTTGGAAATGTAAAAGGTTTCCTTGTTTTTGTGCCTTAATGTCCAGAGACCAGAAGATTCAGAGCCCGATTTCATTGAAAGATCGCACAGCGCAACTGACATTTTCGTTTATTCACATTTCATAACAGTTCATATCCTATAGTTTTACTACTATGGCAAGGAACGAAGAAAAACAACTTGCAAGACTTAACAGACTTTATCTCCAGCAGCAAAAAGAGGGTACCTTCATAAACTCATTAATAAATAATTTTAGTCAAAATTTAAAAATTGGGTTTTTTACTTTTAAACCAAGACAGCTAAATAGAGGTTAAAAACCCGAGTCCAACGGTACCTAAATGAAGTCTGTATGTCAATTCTAAGCGGAGATATTCACATTTCAGTGACGGAAAGTGCCCCCAAAAAATTATAATGGAAAACACAGAAACAAGATGGCGGCATGTTCCCAAGTGAAAACTGGACCTAAATTTATCATGTTTAATGTCAATAACTCTCAAGTTTTTGGCTGAACCCCTTAGCAACCATATGTCATTGCTTTCAGGACAGCAAGCTCTAACTAAAGTTGTTGCCTTTTAAAAAATATGATGTGATGCAAACCTAAATAACATAAAAATGAGTCAATTTATTAGTATTAATTAAATACCTTATGAATTTATTATTATTATTCAGTGAGTCTTGCAAGACGTATACTGTAATATATATATATATATATACTTTTGTAACTATTCTTCCTGCTATGATGCATCTTTTTCTGTTTGTTAAATAATGCTTTTTCTCGCACTGTCACTTGTGTGTGTGTGTGTGCATACATCTGACCGAAATTCGCTTTATTCCACTGTTTACAAAATTTTTAATAGCAAGTGGATCGACTTCATTGCATCGTTACTGGTTTAGTATGGCTTGGTCTTTCTCCACATAACTGAACGGCTAGAGCATGCTAAGAGCTTAGCACGAAGCCTGAATACCGTAGCTCCAGCAACAGCCCTCAGAGGTCTCCGCTAACCAAAAAAATTCATTTTTTAGTTGAACAACGCAGTGAACGTACCGCAACCTTCTGAGCGCAAGGTTAATGGCTTGACCACTTTGCTACGGAGACCCCCATGTTTTATAACCAAGTGAAAATGAGAGCCCCTCTTACTGATTTAACATAATCCTTTTTTCAGTCTTTGCGAGTTATTCTTTCATTTTATTGATGATGAGGACATTTCACTATAGTGTTCCCCTCTTCTTCTTAACTAGTCACAGCTCGATATTTTATTTACTTGTTCAAAATAATCTAAGGTAACCGCCCGATTTGTGATTCAGTGCTATATTTTTCATGGAGTAAAATTATTAAATAAGCTCCTTTGTGATTCGCTTTGGATTTATGTTGTGTTTTCATGGAGCAGGATTTCATAAGGAAGGTAAGAGGAAAAATAACATTTTATTTTTTTTTAAAGTATCTATGTCCCACGTGATCTGTTTGCTGGCTAGTATATATTAGTATATATAAAAAAATGATCAAATATTATTAATCATAAGTTGTAAGTAGCCCTAGCTGTAAGTAAGTAAACTTATGCAGTTAAATTATATTTTATTATTAATTTCATAAATCATCAACTTTCTAAATAAGCATATCTAAAATCTAAGGAAGTAAAAACTACAATTTTAATACTAATACATAGTATCAGTCATGAATAGTACTTGTTATACTGTCTTGTCTAAGACAATAAAAATGCACCACAAAATCATAGTGCAGAAATATATGGCAGACATTTTTTAAATGTTAATCTGGGAGCGGAGAGTGGGGGTCAGCAGGTAAAAAGGCCTTAAACAGATAAGGTCCTTCATGCCCAATGATAGGTTATGGCTTAAAAAATTCTATAATGGCTAAAGATTCCAAAAATAATTTAAAAACTACTTTAATGTGATTTTAAACTATATTAAAAAATGTTCAAACCAATGTCTGTGTCCATTTTCAACACTCAAAATACCCTAGCCAAATGGTCCATGTCAAAAACGTGCTAAAACATTATTTTCAGCTATTTAAAACTATTAAAACTGATGTCAAATGAAAGTTAAAGACAGTTAAATGATTAATAGAAATAAAACTTGCATTATTTTTTTACTGTTTTTATAAATAACTAGATATTAATCAATCAGTTCGTTTAGACCACGTGGCGGCCATTTTGAAACATCTCCGATTTAGCTCTCAAGACACAATTGGGAACAAATTCAAACTTTCAACTTCGTCCTGTACAGATTCCAACAAAAAACTACCCACCTTTATGTAAAAATGGACACAGAATCCAAAAATGTCAACTAAAAATATTTATATTCACTCTAAAAAGGAGATATTAAAGAAATTTAATTCCCGCATGGCAAATAGTGAAATTTACTTGGCTGAACAAAGATCGCTACGTAAGTTAGGTGTCGTTTTGTAGAGCGACCTCTTCTGAATAACTTTGAGCCCATGTATTCGGATTCAGAACAGCCAGTATTGAGCGACGGGTTTTCAAAGTAACTGATACGCAAAGGAGCCATTTTTCGTGGACCAACGACTCCATCTTGTAACTAAGCGATCTCTACTTTCGTTTTAAAGTGGGTCACCTTCCCGATTAGCATCTGACTGCAGTACTATCTATTAATTTATTTCCACGATTTCAATATGGGCTCTCCTCTGAACTTCTATCCGATAATAATATGGCGGCCAAGCAAATAGCCTACAGGGCCTCAGTGGTGTGTAAAATGCGGACTTTCTGCCAAGGAAAAAATCGCTGCAAAACTAGGATTACTTTACAATTTCAAGAGACGCAACACTGCAGACGATTAATAGCGACCGCTGACAATTTCAAGTGTTTCTGTAGACGATACTAGCAGACGATAATAGCGACCATTGACAACTTCGAGACACGCAACATGACAGACGATAATAGCTGCTACACGCGGCGCGGATGGAGATCTAAACTAGATGCCTGGGACTCACGAGCAAATAAATTAGAGGAAGTTGCAGGAGATGCGGTAGCTGCTACTCGCGAGTCCTAGCTATCTAGATTAGCCCCTCATCCGCGCCACACGTAGCGGCGCAGGGGATACTGTCAGCGGTGCGCATAGTTGCAGAAACAGGTTCGCAATTAATATATCGCTTAGACCCTGTTAGAGCATTTGTTTCGTTATTCGGAGCCGATCCTAGTTTTGCTGCGATTTGTTCCTTGGCAGAAAGTCCACATTTTACACATGACTGAGGCTCTGTTAGGCTATTTGCTTGGCCGCCATAATATCGGGTAGAAGTTCGGAGTAGAGCCCAATATGTTTATTATATTTTTTAATAGAATATTTAATTAAATAATATTAAAACATATTATTATAGGGATTTTAGTCAAAATTTATATTTTGGGTTTTTTACTTTTAAACCAAGACAGCTGAATAGAGGTTGAAAAACAGAGTCCAACAGTATCTCAATAAAGTTTGTCAATACTAAGCGGAGGTATTCACATTTCAGTGACGGAAAGTGCTCCCAAAAATATTATATTATAAATTTCGGAAAAATTATGTGCAAGTTTATTGCAGATTAACTATAATTGACTTAACTCACTTTGTCTTAACATCTTTTCATACTAGAGCCGTAGAGTCCTCAGCACTAGACTAGTACTAGTGGAGAACAGATGTAGTTAAAGGAAGGTTCTGTAGTACTGTACTATAGTAGAAGAAGAATTGAAGAATAACACTTTAAAATATGGATGTTTTAGTATACAGCCTATAAGGCTATATTGCCTATAAGGCCTTTTACAATAGAACATCGGGAAGAAAGGCCAGAGGAAGACCCAGAAAAAAATGGAGTAGCTGAATACGGCCAGAAGATCCAGAAAACTGTCCCTCAAATCACGCGAGAGGCACAAAACAAATATTTTAAACCACGACACTGGGCTGCAACCCGGTAAAAGTAAAAAAGGCAATAGATAGATAGATAGATAGATAGATAGATAGATAGATAGATAGATAGATAGATAGATAGATAGATAGATAGATAGATAGATAGATAGATAGATAGATAGATAGATGGATGGATGGATGGATGGATGGATGGATGGATGGATGGATGGATAGATCGATCGATCGATCGAACGACCGACAGACAGATAAATAGATAGTATACAGCACTAAATGTTAAACATTGGAAATGTTAGAGCATACATTCTGGGCATCCTGACATGATTGAAAACCTGTAGTTTTATAAATTATTGTGAACATATGAGACCGTTAGCAAAGATTGACAAGTCACAAATGGATAGATCATACTCATAGAAACTAATCAAGTAAACTTTAATGTGTGATGATTGAATGAGTAACACTAAGGAAAACAAGAAGCAGAAAAACTAATTCATAGGTGGAGTGGCTTATTCTTTTTCATGGTATGAATGCTTGAGGAAAATAATTAAATTATAGCAAAACTAGAGGGATGCGGATGTTATTTATGCGGTGTTGAGAGGAAAGTAATCGTTGAGGTATTAAGTGCTACAGGCAACAATTCCTTTAAAAAAATCAAAAACAATAAGAAGACAAATAAAATTATGAAGCATATCATTTACGCAGAAGAATAGGAAACACAAACTAGCCTTATGTATGAAAATCCTGGACAAGAGAGACAGAATGAACAAATAAACTATATATTTAAAGAGTTAGAAATTAGGCACGCAGGCCCATCTAACATTCTCTTCTTCCCAGAGTTTTAAAAAATGCACAATAGTATAAGCAACAATATCTTTATTCACATATCAAATGACAGAGGATTGCAAAGTTAATCTTCTTCTTCTTCTTCTTTACATTCGCCAGCTATAAACTGCAGCAGAAAGTTCTGGTTGTTCACACACCTCTGGACTTTATTCTTTTTCCAGAACCTGAGTGTTTGCGGAAACATCAGTTTGATAGATCTGACATGTTTTTATGCAGGCTGTTGGCTCCTTGACTCTCAGGCAGATGCACTCCAATTTAAAAAAAAAACCAGTTTGTTGACTTCTACAATATGCTGGTTGGAGATTTGTTTGCCCCTCCCCCCTGTGGGGCCCTGGAACCCAGACAGGTAGCAGAGTTAATCTTCTTCTTCTTCTTCTTCGCGTTCACCAGCTGTAAACTCTGGTGGAAAGTTCTGGTTGCTCGTCCATTACTAAACTGCAGTCCTGCTCCAGAACCTGAGTGTTGCGTGTGCATCAGTGTTACAGATCTCATTCTCTTGAATACAGACTGTTGGTTCCTTGCCTCTCCGGCAGATGCACTCTGACTTCAAAGGAAGCTCCCCAATTAATCGACTCTTACGACATGCTTTTGTTGAGGCAGTGGGTCTATTTTTGTTTTCCACACAATGGGGCCCCGGAACCCACACTCTCCCAGCCAGTGAGATCTCTTAACTTGTAACAGTTATGTTATGGTTTTTTTTAAACTATTGCAGCGTAGCAGCAAACACATTTGCCGACCGACCCTGTGGTTTTGAATCCCTCTTGAATCAGAATTAAAAAAAACTGACATGGGTTCCCGGTTCGACCCAGCCGGAAATGTGTACCAGAAATTGTTCTGGGAGGTAGATACATCAACCTTTGTATCCACCGAGTTGTGATTGCTCTATAAAAATATAGGGCACTACCAAATATCCATTTCAGCTTATGGCATTATTTAAAACATTGGCTTTTTTTGTCATATTTGTTATCCTTAATCTGATATGATAATTGTTGTTGTTTTAAATATTTAATTAATTTTGTCATTTCACGTGTAAAAAGTCAAGGTCCTTTTTCCAAGCCTTTAGGCATATTAGGAATATAGGGCTAGACCTATATTTTTTATAGACCAATCGGCACTTGTTGGGTGATGTGGGCAGCATCACGCCGGCCACCTTTACTTCCCAGGACTGAACCTGATACCCACTCAAGGCTGGGCTGACCTGAGAGTCAAGCTCATTTTTGAAAAGTCCGGCTCCCTCTGAATACAAACCCACGACCTTCCAAACCGTAGGCAGGCATCTAGCCGCCAACGCCACGGTGACTCCCCATTTCACATGTACAGAACTCAAATTGTTGGATGTTGGATACTTCTTCCTTTTCTCCAGTTACTTCATCACAATGCTAGGGAAGATGCAAAGATCTGGAATTTTATTAAGTTAATTATTGTCACTACATTTGTGTGAAACTAAAATCATTGACTCTTCATGTTCTTGTTGTTGTTGTTGTTCTTCTTTTTCTTTTTCTTCTTCTTCTTCTTCTTCTTCTTCTTCTTCTTCTTCTTCTTCTTCTTCTTCTTCTTCTCATCATCCTCTAAATACCTGACTGAAGTGTTGTGGAAGGATGTAAGAATATTCTGTACGCTTTTGATAATGATTTGTATAAGCTGATCTTCATTTCTTTAACTGACTTCTTGCTGTAATAGTTCCATATATTTGCTTGGTCTTCCCCTTTCACTGTTTATTATATTTCTTCAGCATGCCTCTCTGTGGCAGTTGGTACCAGGACATTCTTGTCAGATGACCGAACCATCTCATCTGCACTTAAATGAAAATAAATGACTGTTTCTAAATCTTCTTCCAATTTCTTTGTTTTTTAATGTTCTCTTTTTTGTCACTCTGGCAAATCTTTTAGTTGCTGTAAGGTCTATGTTTGACACTGGTAGCACAGAGTTGGCCAAAATATAATTTGTTGGATACTAAACCTGAAATTATAACTGAATTTATTTAATTTACTGCAGAGGAGCTCAAGAAAAGGCCACCAAGACCAAAACTGGTAAGTTGTCAGTAGTCAGATACTATAGTGTTTTATTGGTTGATTGATTGATTTCTGAGTTTTTATTGGTTGATTGATTGATTTCTTGGTTGTTTTATTGATTGATTGATTGATTTATGGGTTATTTTATTGGTTGATTGATTGATTTCTGGGTTGTTTTATTGGTTGGTTGATTGATTTATGGGTTGGTCTTCTTCTCCTCCATAGCCTTCACTGGCTATAAACATGGTGGAATGTTCTGGTTGTTCATCCACTTCTGGATTTTGGTCTTGTTCCAGAACTTGAGTATTGCATGCACACCTGTTTTACAGATCTGGCTTATTTGTATTTAGACTTGGTTTCTAGCCTGTCAGGCAGATTCAGTTTTGACTCTGAAGGAAATTCTTGCTTGGTGAATCCTCTCAAAGACTGAATGTTTTAAATGAACTCATAAGTCAAATAAGTTGCTATGCAGGTCTGTTGAGTGGACCAGGTGAAGAGGGGTGCATACGAACAAACTCTTTAGTGGTTGTAAATTGCTGCCCAGATAAAAGTGTTAGGTAGAGAGACAGAGGATGATAGCCTACACACAGGTATATATTAAAGAAAGCAAACATTACACAACTGACATTTGCAGGCATTATCAGAGTAGAGTGTGATTACACTTCACATGCTGTGTGGAAGTAGAAATGATCAACTCGGTCTGAAGAAAATGGTGCTGCGTCGCGGTGACCAGAGGATATGGTAGATGATCAGTGCTTAAGGGAAAGGGGAGACAGATATACAGTCAGACTGTTATTGGTACCAGTGGAATTGGAACTCTGCATTTGCTGCTGAAGATATAGACGGAGTGCTTATGTGAATGTCCTGAATGCTGTGATGTCAATTCCTAATTACACATTAAACATTTGACATGCTTTCATTATAAAAGTTTTGTAAAATAAAATTTCAGGAAATTTATTGATTTGTTAATGTTTGTATATTTTTACATGATATTTTTCATCACTGTTAACTGCATATATTTCATAGATAGTGTCTTACCTTTGTTAATTGCATAGATAGTTTACACACAGTTTGTTACTATTGTTGGTTGTGTACATATTTATAGTCAGTCTGTTATCAAGGTGGATTGTGTGTATTTTACACACGCAATTAGTTACTATCATTGATTGTGTGTATATTTTACAGGCAACCCTTAACACTGTTGAGGACATCAAGAAATGGCTTCCAACTGTTGTGAGAGACATTGATTTCTATGTTAAGGTACGAATGAGTTTTCTTTGACTGTCACAGGAGTGATGATGTGGGGCTAAATTTGCAGGGTTGCTTCCACAATTTTCAACATGTCGCATAAGATTCTATGCATAGGAAAAACAATTGTGTTTAATGAAAACCATTTTTATTTAATGATGTGCTCCATATGTGATAACACTTGTGATTTTCAGTATATGTCCTTCAGTGCTGAAGAAAATATGTGAGTGCAGCTGCAGTTACGCTCGTAATAATGTTGGTGATATGCTTATTTTTCTATGTATTTAAACTTATGGGGCACCCTGTATATTGGCATAATAACTGGGAATTTAAAAAAAAAAGGTAGTCCCATAGGAGATACTGTTGTTAGAATGTGAAGCTTAAAATCTTTACACATTCTAGGACACAACAGATGACGTGGGTGGCTAGTTCTCTTCTTCGTCATCTTTCTCTCCAAGACAGTTCTAGAAATGATCTGGTAACCATTTTATTTGAGGCAGGATTGACTCCAGAGCTGCACTAATTAGGCAAAATTTTGCCACTAAGTGTTGCTTCTTGAGCCCATTAACTAACATCACAGCACTCGGGACATTCCCATAAGTGCTTCATTCTCATCTTCAGCAGCCTGTGAAGAGTTCTAATTTCAATGGTGCCAGTAGCAGTTTGATTGTATGTCCTTCTTGCCTTTCCCCTGAGTATAGAATGTCAACCAGATCCCCTGGTCTTTCCTAGCTATAGCATCTCTCCAGACCATAATGATCTGTTCGTGCCTCCTCATTGTTCACTTACTGACAAAGAGCCTTGACCACATCTAGCTAGCTTGTCATGCATAAATTCATCACCCATTGGTGCAGAACAGCCAGTTTTTGCCTATTTATTTATCAACACACCTGCATGCCTTGGACAGAATATCCAAAGAAGAACGCTAACTTCCTTCTACTACTAGGGATTGAATCCAGACGAGTCTCAGTGGGCAGGCACAGTAAACTCTGTGCATCCTCAGCTCCTGGGAATTGATCAGTCAGGTGCCATCTCCACAGTGAAGATTGGCAGCAAATAGGATGTCTAAAAAAACTAATTAAAACAAATTAGAAAATAAATAACTAGTCTAAAAATTATGTTCTGGTCTTTCCTTGTCCGATGCTCTATGTGGTCTTTGATATTAAGACCAGGTATACAGTTGTGAATATTTTTTTCTTACTTTCTTTACTTAAATGGTCAGCATTGGTGACTGCCTTTTTTCCCAAAGAATGTCTTTATTCTTTTCCAGGATATTTCTCTGTTTTTTCACAAACAGTGTATGTATTCTTTTCCAGAATATGTTTCTATTCTTTCCCAAAGAGTATCTTTATTCTTTCACACAAAAAATGTCTTTATTCTTTCCCGAAAAATGTCTTTATTCTTTCCCAAAGACTGTCTTTATTCTTTCCCAAAAAATGTCTTTATTCTTTTCCAGGATATTTCTCTGTTTTTTCACAAAGAGTGTATGTATTCTTTCCCAAAATGTTTCTCTATTCTTTATCAAAGAATATATTTATTCTTTCCCCAAGAATGTCTTTACCACAGATTCCTAGACAACTTCTTTACTTTTGTTGTTTTTTTTTAAAGAATGTTTCTACTACTGTTTCCTAGAGAATTTTCTTACTCTTCCTAAAGACTGTTTAAACTTTCTCAAAGAATGCTCTTATGCTGTTCCAGGAGAAGTTTTTAGAGTGCCCTTGAAAAATTAATATACATACTGTTCTCAAATAATGCTTTCAAACACACACACACACACACACACTCTCTCTCTCTCTCTCTCTCTCTCTCTCTCTCTCTCTCTCTCTCTCTCTCTCTCTCTCTCTGCCTGCCTGCCTGCCTGCCTGCCTTGCACTTTCCCTAAAAGCTGTCCACTTTTCCCCGAAGACTGCTTCATTTTTGTCAGGTTCATATTCCTCTTTTCATAAGGTTTATTTTTTTTTTTTAAGGATGCGGAGATGGAACTAATGTGTGTTCAGTGTTTTCGCTTCATAAGGCCTGATCAGCTACAGAGCTGCACTATACATTCACATTAATATCATGATTTTGTTTCTTTATATATTAAATGTATTTTTTTTAAATATATGGTTACTTGCTACCAACAGCAAATGGAGGTGACCTGTTATCCCCAGCATCAGATTGAAGAGTTTGAACTTCGTATAGATCGTCTCCGTGGAGAATATAAAGCCTTCATTCGAAAGCTGCACCAGCTGGAACCAGATTTAAAAACCACACCATGGTGCGATCGTCCGTATGCAGGGAAGCGTAGAAAGACAGAAGCTTACACATGCAGTGAAAGCAAAGATGGTAACATCTGTTTTTTTTTGTCATGGAGAGAAAATGAAAATATTACAAAACTTTGCTAGGTTTTCTTGAGTTGTTAATTTTTATGAGTGGATAAGCATTCTTCAGATCTAAATTAGAATATATATTGTATGTGTATGCGTGTGTGTATACAAAAGTTGAGGGAAGAGGGCACTGAAAAGGGTGTCTTATAAAATCACTCATCAAAACCATGCAGAAAATACATGACACACGTATCAACTGAAAAGATAAAACAGACAGATTAGCTGATTGGGTCCACAGCTTTGTTGGCAAGTTCTTAGTTACATCTCAGTCACTGTGTTCCTGATTGTGTTGTTTTTAAGTCAGTTTTTACTAATTTATGGGTAAAATAGTAATCAGTGCTTAATTAATATAATACCTAATTAGCTATATGTTTTTTGTTTTTCAGTTCACTTAAAATTTGTACTTGCTTCGTGAAGTTTAAAACTAATAATTGATTGTGATTAATACTATTTTTAAGTCAAATTAGAAAATCAATGACTGAAACAGTTTCTAATAAACATTCATTATATACCTTCAGCATAGAAAGAATTAAATGCTATTTCAGATTGAGTGTGGAGTTTTGAGGAGAAAAACTAAAACAAATTCCAGTGAAACAAGAGGAGAAAACACAATAACCGCTGGCATAGAACAGAACGCACATTGAGAAAACCTGGTAATAATATAACTAGAATGTTCTTGCACTGGAACTCGCAGAGACAAAGAAATAAATAGACTTTAAAAAACCATAAAGATAGTTAGAGACTGAATGGTTTATGGAGTGAGCTGAAAGCCATGGCAAAGGAGGAGTTGAGTTGTGCTGGGGGTTTATATTCTATTGGCTATTGAGTTACCAGGGAATCTGACCGACACTCAACACTCAGGAGAAGGATGAGACGCATATACAATCAGATGGTTACTGGTACTATCGGAATCGGAACTCTTTGCATGGCGCGGTGATTTAGGTCACAGGTGTGAGGGAAAGTTAAGTCCAATATGATGTGTAAAAGGAGATACTCCGTACGTCACTCGGGCGCCAGTCCTTCACTGTTTTGGTTTTACGGAACCTCATGCAAGACCCCTGTAGCACGTCCTTGTCGTGCACCGCGGATAATGTCTCAAATGAGCATTAACAGAGCTGTCAGGGGATCTCGGAGTTGGCAGCCCCCAGAGGTGTAGTGTCTTTGTGGCTCTCATCAGCCCGCCCCCAAACGCATGGGTGAAAAAGGTTATCAAAACTCATATAGGAACATGAGTAAAGTGCTTGCCAAATGTACAACTAAAATTACAACCCTTGGTTAAAAGATTGCGGAGTGAAGAGAACATTGTTCTGCTGAGACTCAACCCTTGACCTAGAGATTTACCAGCAGCACAGACGAGTAACGTCTCCTGGGGGTATCGTCTCGCAGCAAGATTCTACCCATGTACATCCTCTGTTAACCCTCAGTGTCGTCGTCACCGTGCTGAGGTACACCACAACAGCAACAGCCCATTGGCTGGCTAAGCCTAAATGCCTGACAAAACTAGATCCTACGGCACACGAGTAAGCTCAAAATCCGACCATCTAGATAGTAAGATCGGGCGCCCGTGTGTATTGTTGCGCACGTAAAAGTATCTCTTTGCAATTGGAAATCAAACAGAGTAGCCTAACGGCACTGCCCAGGCAAGATTTTGAGTTTAAAATCTACCCAAAGTATTTCAGGATCCTCACTGGTGCTACAAAGTTTGTGCACTGCGCTGAGATTCTTCAGACTCTCAGGCTTGAGTTAGAAGTAGAATAAAGCAAGCACTTATTGGTTACTAACCTTGTGCCATGATCCATTGTCTAAACCATAAAATCTCTTCAGACTAATGATTTTTTTCATGTCTCTACACTGTTCACTCCCGCCACCACCCCAAAACTTCCCTCCCCAAGGGACCTGATAAGATCTAAATTGACCATCAGGTGGTGCAGTCTGTTCTTTTCCTAACACACCTGCATTCCCTGGAGAAAAATATCCAGAGGACGCTATTGAAGCATTTTTTTTAATGGGATGTTAGTTGTGAAAATTAGAAAAATGAAACTTTTATTACTACCTTTTAATCTAAGGAGAAGACAAGATTGAAACTGATGAAAACCATGTATATAAACATTTTAAGATAGCCATTAAATGTATGTGCATTCATTTTCTAGATGCAAATGAGCAAGATTCTGGCAGCGCTGAAGGCACACAACAGAAGGACAGTAGCAACCTCATGACCTTTTCTGGCAGCTCTGAAGACACGCGACAGAAGGACAGTAACAACCTCACGACCTTTGTTCCCTTGTGCGTACCAGTTCTAAAAAACAGCAGCTTGTGTCAGAACTGGTATGGATTTGAAAAGCCAAAACTACCATATGTACCTGAGTTAGAAAGCCAGCTGCAAAATGAGCCTCTCCAGTTTGAGTTTGAAAACAAGTTATCAGAATGTAGACAGTTAGAAACTTCAGTTGGAGCTGTAAAGTGGCCTGATAATAATAGTAGACTTAGCATGGATGAATGTAATTCCCAAGGAATTGGTGCTTTTGAGAAGTGTAGTGAATCAGCGGTTAATTCTGTCGAATGTTGTAACCGAAAAGTAGATGTATCAGGGGAACTAACAGAGGCCGGCACAAGTACATTGTTACACCATAATACCTCTCGCAGTAGAAATCTGGAGAAGTGTAGGCTTCCTACAACCCATCTGCATACCAAGACTGAAAAAGAGAGAATTACCGGACAGCGTACATGTGATTATAATGTTCCCATTAAAAAGGTCTGTGTTGAAGATAGTTGTGCCTCGAGTTTGGGAAACAACTCGGGGATTTCTGTGCTAGGTTCTTTGAATATCCCATACACAGACTCCTCATCTTCCTCCGAAACTGAGACTTGATATAAATAAAGATAAACACTTTGGCAGCAGTTTCTGTTGAAGAAGACCACATATACTAGGTCATACAGTCAAAGTTTTGTGTACAAGCTGATAAAAGAGAGTGTCAAAACATTGTGACTTCTGTGATTGTGACTGTTCATGGCTGGGTAAGCACACAGAGTAGCCACCCCTGAGTCGATTGTAGCCATTTTGAAACTTCCAACTCCACTCAGACACTTACTGCACTGACAGGCAGGCATCACCATACTGGACCGTTATTTGCCAATGAATTTGTAAAGGTTTCACCCTTCACAGATCAAAATATGGATAACAAAAGGCTGCTCAAAAATTGGGCGGCCATCTTTTAAATTGTCGTGGAGTCACACATGTTTGTCTGCACAGTGATATCACGTGCTTAACACTTTTGACATCCTTAACAATTGTATTGGTATGTTACAAGACAATGACATGGTTACTGTAATTTTTAAGATTTTCGTTTAAAGCCCCATCCAACACTGCGTGACAAGCTGTGATAGGGCTGAAGGATATTAAAGATCGTAGAGTCAGGTTCAGACTATATCATTCAGTTACATAAAACAAAGACTGACACCTGTTACTTACAAAAAACACATACTGACACCTGTTACATACAGCACTTACTGGGCGGTACAGGGTGCCAGGTATTAGTAGAACCTCTAGTGTTGGAGCTTATCATGTCGTTTTCAGGACAGCTTACCTGCCTTTGGCCCAAAATCTGGCATCCAGCTCTCACCTGTGGCTCCATGCAGCTGCCAGCTTGGCAGTGTAAAATCCCCCCCGCCCCCACCCGCTACATACAACACATACTGATAACCTGTTACTGACATACAACATATACTGATAACCTGTTACTGACATACAACACAAACTGATAACCTGTTACTGACATACAACATATACTGATAACCTGTTACTGACATACAACACAAACTGATAACCTGTTACTGACATACAACATATACTGATAACCTGTTACTGACATACAACATATACTGATAACCTGTTACTGACATACAACATATACTGATAACCTGTTACTGACATACAACACAAACTGTCACCTGTTACATACAACACATACTGATAACCTGTTACTGACATACAACATATACTGATAACCTGTTACTGACATACAACACAAACTGTCACCTGTTACATACAACACATACTAATAACCTGTTACTGACATACAACACATACTAACCTGTTATTGACATACAACACAGACTGACAACTGTTAAACATAACACATACTGTTAACCTGTTACTGACATACAACACATACTAACCTGTTATTGACATACAACACAGACTGACAACTGTTAAACATAACACATACTGTTAACCTGTTACTGACATACAACACATACTAACCTGTTATTGACATACAACACAGACTGACAACTGTTACACATAACACATACTGATAACCTGTTACTGACATACAACACAGACTTTCACCTGTAACATACAACATATACTGATAACCTGTTACTGAGATTGTGTGTAAACTACCCGGGATACAAATTTGCACTTCGCTTCCAGTCATCCAACAGATTTATCATTTCTGTGTCAATAAATAAATTATAAATAATCCACAATAATAGTTTGAATTGTTTATTTTATTAGTTTCTTTATTGCAAATTCCTGTACAGTATTTTTTTTTTTTAATAATAGGAACTACAGTTCCATGGTTTGACAATTAATTTATTACATTGAGACTTTATATCTGTGCACACAAGGTATACTGACTGCTAGAAAAAATACTACCAGAACATGGATGATAATGGTATAATACAGATTATATGTTTCCCGTGTGGTTTCCGGGGACCTGTGTTAGGGAAAGCAAGAATAGACCCACTGGCTACCCAAAAGCATGTAAGAGAAGACTCATTGGAAGCTTCCTTCAAAGTCGGAGTGCATCTGCCTGAGAGGCAAGGAACCAGCAGTCTGCATACAAATGAGTCAGATCTGTAAAATGGATGCAAACGCAAGACTCAGGTTCTGGAACAGGACTGCAGTCCAGAAGTGGAATAACAACCAGAACTTTCCTCCAGAGTTTTTAGCTAGTGAAGGCAAAAAAGAAGAAGATTATATATAATTAAACTGAACTTCACTTTAAATATATATATAAAGACTCTCAATGTGAGTCTGTAAGCAGAGGTCACATATCCTTGCTTCGAGGCCTGCTAGCTACGTCGTGCCAGCCCCATATTTTTATGGACCCGTTGGTATTTAGTATCATGTCAACGGCTTTTACTTCACATATAATTTCCTCATATTCATATTTTTTCCTCTTCCTCTGCCTGTTATTCCCAAAATGGAGCACAGGCCCTCCACCAGCTTTCATGAAGTCGTCCTGTCCTTTTCTTTGCATGCAGCCCACTCTTTGTTCTCCCTCTCTTGTCAACTTCACTCTCCAGCTCTCTTCCTTTTTTTTTTTTTTTTTTTGTCAACCCATATTTTGGCTGGGCTAACTTGGGAGCCCAGTTCAATTTGAAAGGTTTGCCTAAATGGGGAGTCAAACCTTTAATCACCAGGCTGGCGGGAAAGAGAGTTAATCACTGTGCTAACCATCATTCCCAGTTTTCATTTAAGTTAGTTACAAGTCCCCCTCCAGGACTTTGCCAGCCAACCCCTGCAATTTTGTACAGCTGTGTTGTTCTGCTTATAAAAAAACAAAAACCAGGATCCTGTCGTACGCGTTAGGCATATAGGGCTAGACCAGTCTGCACTTAGTTGATGACATCGTGTCGGCTGCCTTCACTTCCCTGGACTTTACCTATTATCCATTTAAGGCTGGGTCAGCCTTGGAGCCATTATCATTTTTTTTTAAAAGTTCGGCTTCTTGTGTTGTTTTACTAGTAAACGTTACCCAATTGGGTTCCTAGCCCCTAATAATCATGTCATAAAAGATTACTAATCAGGGTGTTTGTTTCGAAGTCAGGGCACATCTGCCAGACACACGAGGAACCAACAGCCTGCATAGAAAAAAGCCAGATCTGTAAAATTGGGTGTGCATGCAAAACATAAGTTCTGGAACAAAACCAGAGTCGAGGTAATACAGCCGGTAAACACCTTAAAAGAAAACTAGGCAATTAAAATGTTTGTTTTTTTTTGCTTGCTTAACGCAATCATCAGGCCTGCTATATGAAGGAAGGTTCCTTGGCTATCTTATTTGGTTTTTCATTATTTGTGGTGTGAAGTCACACCTGATATTCCGGTTCTTTGCCTTGCTAAGTCCGGTGTGGTGCATGGGGTTTTTGAGTCTGGTCTGGTCCAGTTCTCTTGGTAGGCCATATCTATGGCTAGACCATATTTATGGTCCGGCTATATTCAGGGCCCCCGGCAAAAGCCAGGGTGCGAGCTTCAAATAACAAAAATCCCACAAGGGGACAACTTAAGGGGAAAAAAAAGAGTGAATGAGTGAAGCCGAACCTCACTAGAACTGCACAGTAAGCGATTAACACCTGGTGACACAAAGTGTCACTATCTAGAGGAGAATCCCCCAGGTGCAAGTAATGTGAAGTCCAGCCGGGGTAGAGCTTTAATATAATTAACAATAATGGTGTCTCATGCTGAGACGGAAATATCAGACAACTTTGGTATTGGTAGAAACTACATGCTGTGTACATGTGGTGGGTACATTATACTAACCAGAAAAAAAATTATTTTTCTTTTTCATTTTAGTGCCATAATAAACCTACATTACTGTCACTTTCCTCCTCTCTGTGGCTGTATCAACAACCCCCCCCCCCCACCTTTTTTTTTTTGGGTCAAAGAGAATGAAAGCTGTTACTTCTTTGCTCTATTTGTATTAAGTGATTACTTCCCTTCATAAAATAATTTTTTTAAACAAATTACATTTGCACTAAACAGTGATTCTTCATAGGGGAAAAATCCATCTTTTTAGTGACTTGGAAAAGGGGATGGGGGGTTGTGATGACACACTAGTTAGTAGGCTTGCCTGTCTGCCCAATGGTCATAGGTTTCAACTCTGGACTCCAAACTGCTTCTGCTTCTGCATCTCTTCCTCTAGTTTATAAGGGCAGAGAATTATAATGATGCATTTTTTTTAAACAAAATTTTTACAAATCATTTTAACGATTTTTAAAAGGCAAAATCGTTTTTGGCTCTAGTTTGGTTTTACATGGCAATTTTACATTCAGTAGTTCGTTCATCTTGGCACATGAAAAACTTCAGATGAAACATTATCTCAGAAATAAAGAACAGAATAGAACAGGCCAAATCTGTCTTTTATCAAATTCAGAATATTGACTTAAACTGGCATGGTGATAAAAGGAACCTTGGGTGGGCTGCTGCATTATGGGATTGTATGATCAGACTGCAAATTATAAAAGTTACTTTGTAAATCCACATAAAAATCATTTTTATAACCATGTGTATAATAATTACAAAACATTATGAACTATTAGCAGTAAATCTTGGTAGAGTCGACCATTAACATGTCTCGAAAAGATTTAAGATAGAATAAACTGTACAAATTAATACTATGGATAGCGTGTTATATAATTCACATTCTGTGCAGTATAATACTTGTGTGACTCACTTGTAATTCAACATGTAGACTAAACACAATGAGAAAAAAGTACGTGCCTTTAAGAAATCAAGAAATAATACCCCCAAAACACAATCATAAGTATGTAATGACTGCAGTCACAAAATAGCATATTCCAGGTCAAAAAGTTATGTTGCAAGTTGCATGAATTAGAGTACCTACTGCTAATGAGTATTAGAAAATAATCTTGAACTTGGCCAACAGCTAACATAACATTTTTGTGGGCATTTTCATCCCCAGGCTCATAAAACAAATAACACTGGCATAATTCTTCAAGAAAGAGAGACCAGCATTAGGAGTCAATATTCTGAAGAACTGATTATGGTGATGGGAGGAGAGGGTTTGGTCGAAATTCATTCTTAGTAAATAACCCCAAAAAAAAAAAAAAATTTCACACAGGGTT